TTCTAGATTGTAGCTAACCAATAATATTTATATCAAATGACAGGCGTTTTGATGATTATCATTAGCCCATTAGTTGACTTCAGGCTTCACAGAGAGGAAGGAACATCAAAGTGAAAAAAAGTTGAGAGGAGGGGAACTGAAGAGTGTTTCAAAGACGAAGGTTGAAAATTTAGAAAAATGTGATGTAGTACCGTGAAAGTGGTCGAATATGTCATACAGTGGGGTAATGGTAGTTTGAAGTCAACAGCCGGTTAATAGACTTTTTTGTCGTATGAGTATACGTTGCCCGGGGTGCACCACGTGGAGGTAAGTCTTCCGCACACCCCAGTTAACCAATAATGAAACTACATACTGACAATCGTGCATGATTGCTAAGCAAAATATCTTTACAGAATAGGAGTATACGCTCAACCAAATTTCTCTCTATGTGACCTACAGTATGAAATGGAGAAAACCCACCTAATTCAATGTCCAGCCCTATAGAAATCGGCGGAAGCCCACAGATACTGGGTAGCCAGAAGACAACTAATGAACTACTGTTAACTGTCCTAAAGTTTAAATATATGTTCCTACTCCCACCCCCTTTGTGATAGCCGATGTCAACTAAGGGGCTTATAATAAATAGCATAAATCCTGTCAGTTGAAATAATAATAATATACAGAAAATAGAAACATTTCTCCTTGATTATGTATCTCAAATTTTTAATAGAAATTTAATAAATATTTACTCTTAAAGAACCTTGTTTCATTAGAAATTATTTTAATAAATATGTTCATACAAAACTGAAGAATGTTTTTGCCCCATTACCAAGTCGAATAGTACGGTCCTTCATAAACATACTACCGCATTATTGTAAGATAAGTGAAAGCGTAGCTAATGTGCAATTTTCACTTTCGTCGAAAATGGTTTTATATAGGAATTTTATGAAAGTTTTATTCGAGTTAGATGATAAAATAGGTGCAGATATCGATTAAGCCAAAAAAGTCGAAGTAAAGAATAGGGAAGATTTGGGCAAGACTTAGATTAGCTTAAATATAAACGCCATTTTATTTATAGACTAAAATTTTTTATCAGATACTAAATTGATCAAATAAGTCACGGTCTTAACTTAGATACATCGACATATTTTTATTCGATTGGAAAATAATCATCGAAACTTCGTTAGACCGGTTTTTTTGTCGTTGATGTTAAACATTATTTGAAATTTAATTTTACGTGGGTGCGTATATATTTGTGGACATGCATGTGCTGAGAAAACCGTTCATATCAGCTTGCAGAATATCACTAATTGAATGACTTGACCGACCTTCACGCAGCCGACAAGATTGTTGTCCATTCTATGTGCAAATATTGGCTTTCCTAGTATTTGGGAACAGATTTTTGAGTCCTATGGCTTTTTAAAACTGGAACTAAGGTACCTATAATGGTAATAATATTTGGGAAACCATGATATGCTCACTTATATCGTTATGTTTCTAAGTGTACCTATAAGTACTATTTAAATGCATTATTTGTTATAAATTTATTTTAAATAGACAACAAACAACGTTGAGAACGGCAGCAGGCGATTATTATATTGATTACTAAACTATATTTGAATATGAAAATTTTTGGAATGAGGAATTTGACTTCGGAAAGAATAAGTTCTAAATCCAAACTGTTATGAAACTTTGAATAAAAAAGTAATAATGGCGCAAAAAGTTTCTGTGATCTAAATTTGTCTCTTTTGGCGAAATTTCCATTTCCTTTGTCCACCTTAAGCACCAATCCTTACCTGAATTATGAATATTTAATAAATTGTAGTTTATTGCACAAGTGAACATTAAGCCTTGAAAAATCGATTTAAAATAACCACTTAAAACCGCTAGTGATTAATACTTAAAGAATATTAAGAATTACTAAATTTCTATTTCATTAAGATTAGTTTTTATATATACATAAACAAAATTACAAATAAGGTCTATTATTCAACTGCTAGAGGTTAAATCACTGAATCTTTAACAACAAAAATATCAATTTAAAGATGATTCAAATCAAAAGTAGAAAATTATTATTAATTAATATTTGTTTAAGGCCGTCGAGGTTAATACTACCTGAGGTCTTTAAAATACCTTCTGAGTTTTATTTCAGAACAAAGGTTTTTTTTGCGTTTCAGTATCGTAAATACATAGCGAAATGGAGCTCTTAGGGCCTTCTAATCGATATGATTTTGTTGTTGCCAAAAAATGGAAGCTTATCAGAAAGATTGGCGCTGGTTCCTTTGGTGACATATATCTCGGTTTAAATCTGACAAATGGTGAAGAGGTTGCAGTTAAATTGGAACCCATGAACGCAAGACATCCTCAACTTGTATATGAGAGTAGAATATATCGTTTACTTCAGGTAATTTTTTGTTTGGTCGCTGATTTTCTTTAGAACACATTCGCCGTTCCTCGAATTCATTGGTTCGGCGCTGACGGTATGAAAAATGACTATCGGGCTCTGGTTATGGACTTACTGGGCCCCAGTTTAGAGGATCTTTTTAACTATGTCGGGCGTCGGTTCACTATGAAGACTGTTCTCATGTTGGCTGAACAGATGCTCTGGCGAGTAGAATATGTTCATTCTCGAAACCTTATCCATCGTGATATCAAGCCGGATAACTTCCTAATGGGAATTGGTCAACGTTGTAATCGCCTTTTTCTAGTCGATTTTGGCCTTGCCAAAAAATACAGGTATTTTGTGATACAAAGTCACTAACGTCACCCAATTGTAGGGATACTCGTACCAAAGTCCATATACCCTTCCGCGATGATAAAAACTTGACTGGTACAGCTCGTTACGCTAGCATTAATGCTCATGCGGGCCATGAACAATCAAGACGTGATGATATCGAATCCTTGGGATATGTATTTATGTACTTTTTGAGAGGTCAACTGCCTTGGCAAGGCCTAAGGGTAAATGGTCCAATTGACTTTTCCACGTCTATTTTCTTGTGTATTTATTTTCTTACAAAATGTATATTTTTAACTCATTTTTATCGGCGCTTTAAACGCTGTTGGTTCAAAATATTGGATCCTATCATTAGGTGAAATTTAAAATGTGTTTGTGATATATCAATGAATTTACTTTCACGCTATTTTAATTATATTCGAAAATAATTCCTCTCATACCGTATAAATCTGCACTCAATATTATTTTGGAATTGTCTTTTCATGTCCCGAGCTTCTTTAATTGTTATGATTTTAAATAGTTCCTCATACATTCATATTATTTTGTTATTAGTAGCGTTACCTATTGGATCCAACTTATGAATATACTTTGTTTTCTGCTCTATTTAATGGTCGGGCTTCGTTCGGTCGAAAGATTTTGCTTAAAGCAAATATTTTTGTTGTTTATTGCATTCCGTTGATTTTTGTATCAGAAAAACCCTTATTCCCCTTTTCATGTTAATTTTGCTGAATTTAATGCGAGAGGTAATATGTTTATGAGCACAAGGACTATTTTCCCTTCAAGCAACTCATTTTCTATTTCTTTTCTATGTTTAAAGTTCTTCATGATTTGTATATTTTTTTCATTTAACGAATATGTATGTCCGAATAAGCAGTTCTGTGTTTTGAGTTTCGTGAATATAACAATAACATTGCTTTAACAACATGTCGAAACCCGTCGACATATTTAGAATGGTGACAGTAAATCTTATCTCTTGATTATTGTCGCTTTAAATTCGAAATAAAGTTCAGTCTGCTCATCTCACATGGAAATTTGTTCCTTGGTGCTTTTTTAGGAAATGTCCGAGTTATTTTGTTATAGATTGCTTTTGTGTGTCAACCATCTTTTACCAAGTAGGTATTTCCTGTGTTTTCATGTATTAAAATTGGGCTACGTAACAATGGTGTAAAATTTTTATGCACGCAGTTGTGGTGTCTTAGAATGACATCATTTTGTAACCGGTCATCTGGTGTGTTTGAATTTCTTAACAGTACTCATTTAAGTGGAATAATTACGAATCTGAACAATCTTACGAACCTGGGTTCTTTCCTTTATCTGAATTTTCAATTATCGAATGAACCTGAATAATTTCATGAAACTTGGGGACAACTGTCGATAGCAGTGAAGATCTTCGAAACTGAGCTTCATTCTTCAAATATCCTTTTCCAAAGTGTATAAAGGACACATAGCGCATGTCATTATTAGAGTTTACTTAATATCCTTGACCTTCCACTCTTCTGTTATTTGTGGATTGACAACCGAATAATTACTATTATCTGCGTTAAAGACATCTTTGAGCAATGTTAACTTAAATCGCTTGGATATAAAATGGTTTTGGCGTCTGATTGAACTACTTTCATCTATTCCAGTTGGTCTATTTTTATTAGCGAATTACTTTCACCGCTTGTATAGCTCATTTTGGCATATAAAGCCCAAGATTGTGATCTCTCGCTTTCTCTATACTTCCTTATTTTTCCGTCTTTCGTTAGTCTTCTCCCGCTCTCACTTTTTCCAACTAAATCCACTCTTACTTGCTTCTGCTTAATAAATTTTTCTTTAACCTCAACTTATTTTTCTCAATCTTTTAATGCTGTGGCTTTGTCCTAACAACTGATTACTGTTACTCATAGCTGCAACAACTTTATGTTTGTGTCCATGTTAGATGTAAACTTAAACTGATCCTTGTTTGTTGAAATAACCTAAATAATGGTAGAATTATGGTTCATGCTGGACGGGGTCATTTTTCTGGCAGATATATTTCAGCTTAAAGTGTTTTTTTTTCCGAATCAGACTGCTTTTCTTCAACCAAGTTTTAGTTTGCTGCTTTGTTATTTTTCAGTTTGCGCTTCGATACAATCGTTATTCTCCTTATCTGTCCCTGCATATTACCTTAGCTTAGATATTTAAAATGTTAAATTAGATTTTTCCGTGCCATTTTCAAGAAATCAAACTAGAATCCGGTTCTCTTTCTTCACTTTTCCTACTTTACATGATTGCTCAAGTGGAAGTTTTAATAAGCATGAAATTTTTCCGATGTCAGTTCATTCAATATTCGTCTATTTCTTTCCGTTTAGAATTGGAATTGTTCGCCTGTTCCCTTTTATTCAACTAGGAGTGGCGGGAAGCTACTTTGTCGATTGCTTCAAGCCTTGGCTAACGCATTGCTTGATGATTTGGTCGATTTGCCAACTTAAGATTATATATTCTTTGTTTTTAATAATTCCAATTGGAATGTGATGAATCGAAACTGGCTTTCGTAACAAATATTGAAATGCCACGACTACCCACATCAAGACTCCCCTAAGTAAACCACTATGCAAATTTGACATTTCTGTCAGTCGTCTCGAGGTGATTGAGGATCACGCATTTGCACGCTTTGATTGGCCGTATAATTGTGCCCTTTTCAGTATACTGAGGCGTCCTGGAGGCTGGAGTAATCGTAATTTCAATTCTAGAAACGTTCACTTCTGTCAAATTTTAATTCACGAAACCAGTATTTATCGGTACTCATTCAATTAATTGAGTAGCTAGTGATGGTACGAGTGGAGGTGAATGTAGTATTCTCTTCCCTGTCCAAATCAAGTTTTCCTAACATTTACTTAGATGAATGGGGGGGGGGTTACTTTTAAGCAACCTAGTGGAGTAAATGTCAACGTTCACTTCTGTGACATTAGTGGTTATTATCAACCGCATTTGTTATTAGTGGTAAACGGAGGAAACAGCGAAATAATCAGACTGCCTTCTTTGCCCCTTGATAAATGTTAAAAATTCGCAAATTTGCTCCTTTTTCTGTAGCCAACTAGAGTTCATGTTTAGGCGTCATAGTCAAACTGTTTACTGAGTATTTGCCATCTATAAAATGAACCAGCAGGTATTATGTATTAGCAATTACCATCCACATCGATTTAACTTCATCCCTGAGATCTCAGACAAGTTTGTTTATATCAAAACAGGAAATTGGAAAAATAATCCCCTAATAAACTATTGATGATTAAATTCCTTAATTATAAGTTTTGTCTTTCATCATTGCTTGTGTGAGAGACTGTAAACGGTCTCTTGTGATTGGCTTTTCAGTGTGCGCGTTATTATGGTACGATAACCCCTACTCTTGGTGCCTTTTGTACTTTAAACGTGTTGTTTTTGTTTGCATTTGTTCTTTTGTTACCGGAGTCAATTGTTTTTTATATCCCACATAGAATGTCAGGTATGCCATTTGCTATATTTACTCTGAATCATTCACTTAGTTTTCTTAATCTGAACTTTTAGGTGGGAGAGTCGAAGTTTTGACCCTCCTAATTGGTAGTCATATCTACCATTGTTTCAGAAAGAAAGTGTTCTCTTCCAATTCTATTGCTTTCGTTGAAAATTTATTTTTGCACCTTTGACTTGATCTGCTCTTTAGTTTTCATGAGCATTTTGGGTTAGGAGTAGTATTGTGTTTTATTTGGGACTTTGAGGTTTTTTCAAAAGAGTGTATATGCGGAAGCAAAATAAAAGTTTAAACATGTCCTCCGCATATCGCATTTTCCCAGTTTTGTAAATCATAGTGCTTGCTTAAGATATTAGATGACCTGCGTTTAGCGCTGACCTTCTGGCTTTGAGTGTTTTGTGGTGTATTAATCTTCAAGTTTTCCTCTTTCAGTTAAACGTGTATTGAGATCATGTTGCTTAGTAATCTTTTTTGAAGCTACTCATCGTTGAAGGGACCACCACATTTACTCTTGTATGCGTACAACATCCTAATTAGGTTGTAAAGTGAATCGGATCGAGGTGATTTTAATTTACGATTGTTGTTGATTGATCAAAAGTATTTGATATGAAGTCTGATTCATCACATTTAAATAGAGAGTTACTAGTGGACGATGTGATTAGGGGGGGTGGGGGAGGAGGCTCTTCGCTCAGAAGCTTTCGTGTTACTCAGTGGTGCTTACTATTGAGCAGAGTCTACGTTAGACCCTGTTTCATTTGGATAGATATAAGGAGTTAAGCATATCTTTACCTTCCCTCATTCACAATGTTTTCTTTTCTACCCTTACATTTGTCAACAAAAAATGCCTTTAGCATTTCTCCTGGGTAGCAACATTTTTGCGCATGATCACATGGTGTAACTTAATAATTGACCTTTTTAAAACTTGCTAATGATATTTTCAATGAATTGTAAAATTTACTCGTAATTTGTTCTTTAAGATTGACTGAAGTTGATATTCTCGTCTGGAATGCTTGAGATCCAAAAGTGGTATGCATATATTACGAGTTAATTACTGAAAGGGCTATGTTGCTTTTGCAGTCTTAGTTCATCAAGTAAAAGATGACAGTTGCCAATACAGTATCTTTAAATCAGCCTATCTCCAATTAATTGCTCACATTATATTAAATCCTATGACTATTATTACAGAATTTTTAATTTTCATGTCAATTTTTCTTCCAACCTAATAGCGAACGTTGGTGTTATAGAAACCTTCAAGATTTTTACCTCTACGAAATTAGAACAGACTTGTGCCTACTAATCTAAAGATCCATGGGTCAAAAGGTGCTTTTATATAAGTCTTTCAGGTGCTATATTTTTTATCTATAACACTGATCACGTTTTATATTGAGTAGGGAACTTGTGGGTTAATTGCTAGGGCTATTAATTGTTGGCTTATCAAAGGTGATCGATTTTAAAGCGAGAAACCACTCGAATTCCACGAAATAGTTCATATTTGGTTAGATCTATTGTAACTTTCCAAATGAAACCATCCTGACTAAGAAAATAAAATGGAAATTGGCAATGATAACTGTGAAAGCTTTTATCAAATACTAGTTTTAACCAATAGACTTGTACCAGTTTCAAATTCACCCGTGGTAAAGTACATTTTGTTAATACGTTCTCTGCATTCGGTGCTAGTTAAGCTTGATCCTTTTTTATATACATATGACGACTTTCTGTTATTGCTAAATAGACAGACAGTTAAGAGTTTCAAGAGTAACCAACATTTATCAGTAATTTAAGTTAATCGATAAACTTTGCTATCTTGCATCTCACAATTTTCTCACAAATTAACCTCTTGGTCATTATGTCTAGCATTTATTTCTGTTATTGACGTGTTCTAAGTCTGGTTTTTTGTGAATTGAAGTAGGCAGTGAAGGGGTGAATAAGTTGGTCATCTGAACTTTACTTAAAAACTAAAATGGGCGTCAGTTGTTCCATATTTACCTCTTACTCTTACGTAATATTTATTATTTAAAGGCGGCTTTCAGTATAGCATTATCAACTGTTTTATTTTATTCATGTGACGATAAAGTCATACTTTTTTTCGGCAGGTAAGGTAACAAATATTTTATTTGATTTTAACTGGATGCTTATTTGTACTTTTGCAGGCTGCAACCAAGAAGCAGAAATACGAAAGGATCTACGAAAAGAAACTTGCCACAACACCAGAACAGCTATGTCGAGGCTACGCATTGGAATTCGAGACGTATCTCCAATATGCAAGAGAGTTGGTCTTCGAAGCTCCACCTGATTATCTCTTTCTACGTCGTCTCTTCCGTAAACTCTTCAAAACCTACGACTTTGCATGGGACTCCGTCTACGACTGGACTCTCATGAAACAGAAACCCGCTGCCCTTCCATCTTCCAGCCATCAGAACGCCAACGCTGCCGGTGGAACAGCTTGTAATAATACGAATGTTGGAGGCAATCAGCAACAAATGGGCATGCTTCCACAAGCTGGAGTTGGGGATGCCAATTACCGTCGCCAATATGTAGAAGACACCTTTAACAATTCAGCCGGAGTAGATTACTCTCAGCAGGCTGCTGGTCAAAGCAGCGGACCTGGTGGAGCCGTTTATAAGGATCCTAATGCCAGGTTTTGAACCCTCTCCTTCCTTATCGTTCAGTCCTGTTCAGTCTCTTTCTAACTTGCATTTACTCTGTGGTAAATTCTTTCTCTTTATGTTTGTGTGTTTTAGCGCATTTGCCACGACGAGAGTCAATTTAACGTGAAATTTACATGACGCACACTAATACACATTGGAGCACTATTGTCAATTTTTCCAGCTCTTCTGTGGTTATCTTTCTTTTTCACTGCATGATCCAATTTAATCTTTTTTCCAAATTTCTCCCTACCTCTCTATATCCCCACCGTTACCATGTCTGTACGCACCTCTCGTATTAGTGTGTAGACATTTTGTACAGGCTTTTGTTGTCCCCCCTTTCGCTGCTTCCCCTTTTTCATTGAATTCCCTCATACCCTTTTATTTCCCCACCCTCATGTTCCCGCCAGGATAATAGTTTCACTTTTCTCCCATTATGCGACTGCTATTGTTGTCTTTTGTCTATTTGGTCTTGTATATGCGACCATTTCTGACACTACCAGCCCATTATTAATATTGCGATTATTTTAAGTGCTCTTGATTTGAAGCACGCAAAATCAAATGACCACCGGTAAACGGCAAATCTTTTCACTCAGCTTTGAAATAGATGAGGGGTCAGTAAGAAGCAGTTAATGAAGTCAAGTTGCGGAATCGTGCATTGTTTGAATTCCGGGAGAATTGAGTTGCCTGTGTTCTCATAAGCGATTTAATACATTTTTGATATCTTGTTATACAAGCTTCATGAATTGACTTCCAAATGCGCACGGTTGCGTTTACTATTCAGTGCTTGCAGTCCTGTGGTTGGTTGATTTTTGACTTCAAGTTGAAGCTAAAAGCAGGCAAATGGGGTGGCAACAATTTTCTATTTTTTCGGTGTTCACGCGAGGCTAACTGCACAGTGCACCGAGATGTTCGGAGAAGCGGTTACATAGTGTTAGAGGTCTTTCAGTTGAATGGGGTTTTCATTAGCTCTTGGCAGTTGGAGTAGGAGCACATGTACACTCTTGAAAGTTGGTTAGCTTATCTCTAAAGGTCCTCTGGAGATTGAATAGTCGATGAGTCCGAATTGAGATGAGGCTTTTGCATATTTGTTTTTTATGCTTGTGAAATAGTGGTCTCTATGACAATTCAACCAATTACACTCGCTGTGATCAGTATAAAATTGATCTGGCATCTAATCTGTTTTTCAAAACTACGATGCTAGGTAACAACATTGAAAAATTAATTCCCAGGGCCATCTAAGAAAAACCCTTTCCAAAGTTCATATGAATTGTGTGGCGTAATGAAGCGCCCTCAGTGAGATGCTTGATTTCTACTACTCTCTAAAGTAGTCAGGCCTTATAAGTGCGGATGGCCAACCTGCTTGCTGTGTTTGCGCCGATTTGCATGGGACCCGTGGCATTGGACATGACTAACATGCAAGGTAACCAATGCACTACCACACTTTAATTTCCTTTTACTCGTGCCCTTTATTTCGTTGACGTTTGCATTCTTCATTCAAAATTCGTTCACTAGATCTACCAACTTTGCCTGAGTAGCTCTTGCTTCATGCATTTTTGCTATTAGAGCTTCAAGGGAAATAGTGGAACACTAATTTCTTGCCCGTTCCATCAGGCAAAAGGATTCAACTGTGGAACTTCACTTGCTATCATCACGAAAATAGCAACGATTAGATAGCTCATGACCCACTAGTCCAGCTTTGAGCCCTTCTTTTTTCTCCTGCCGTCGATAGAAGAGTCCGGCCGTAACTTATTGTATGAAATTGGCTATAAGATTAGAGGGCCTGATAAACAAAAGTGGATGCTGATTATAATTTGGTCGTTAGTGTAATAGGACCATTATTCGATTGCAGAAGGAAAAGCTGACGAGATAAGCTATCGCTAGCATTTATACATGAACTACTGGCAGAGATTAAACTTATTTGTCGCACGATTCAACTTGAAAATCATTCGAGAATGAGAAATTGTTCAAAGCACTAAATGAAAACTCGAGAAACTTTTATCAAAATTCTGACTCATCTGAGGGAGATATCACTTTTCAATTTAATTAAGTCACTCAACTTCTTCATTTAGTTCAATTAACAAAAAAGCCTTGGCATAGTTTGTATTAATGATAAGGGAATTGGCTAGTACTGAAAAATAAAAGGCTTAGTTGTAATTGCTATCTCTTCTTCCTTTAGTGGTCCTCGGTCTCAAATGTTCTAGTTGAAACCTGGTTTAGAGTGTAATCGAAAGACAACTGCCAAGTTTACTTTCAATCTTTGTAAAGCACATTTTACAAACCAATTCTTTATAATTTGTGGGAGGAGAAAATCCTGATTTTCCACAGAATGTTTTGTACTAGTCCCTAGTACGAGTTCGACCCAGTTATAACTCGGTTAACACGTGGATACCCACAATAATAATTGAAGGCTCTTGGCCCACAACTCAGGGATTACGAGGCTGGTGCTTACTGTCACACACCAAGGCGGGTTGTGATTGAACCCACTCAGTCCACGTTCAGTATAAGCAGTTGCTTTCCTTCTACAAATTCCAACTTTTGGAATTATGCATTTCTATCTTCATTGGGCTCTTGAGGAAAGCAACGTACATTTTTTCCAAGAAGTTGGTGAGCCCCCCACCCTTCCAAACGAGTTATATTTTCTTTGGTATAAATTGAAAGAGTAAGTTAGGTATTATAATAGTAATGCTTGAAATGACATTGTATAGACGGCCACAAGTTACTTATTCATTATAGATTGAACCCATTACAAGAAAGAAGTATATTTCATAAACAGAGATTGAAAAGGCCTTAGATTATATAATCTAGCTGCTTTGTAACTATGAGAATGATAAAAGAATTATCGTCCTATTCCTTGAACTTTCCTAAGTTAGAGTGCATGATTGGCTTCGTGGGTTTACGATAGACTTACCTCCACATGGTGCACCTGGGCAACGTATATTCATACGGCAAAAAAGTCTATT